AAAGCCCTAAACCCTAAAGCCCTTGAACGTGTGAGGAGCTGGTATCTGGCCATGGCTTTTGGCTCCATCGTCGCTGTGACGGATTCCTTCGGCGTGGTGCAGGTGCTGAAGTTAGAAGTAGGGTTTATGGTTTGGGTTTAGGGTTTAGGGTTTAGGGTTTAGGGTCTAGGGTTTAGGGTTTAGGGTTTAGGGGCCCCTAATATGGGGCCCGGGGGGGGGTTCTAGGGTCCCTTAAGGGTACCTTTAGGGTATATAAGGGTCCCAGGGTTAAGGGCCCATACTAAAGGCCCATGGTTTCAACCTTAAACCCTAAACCCTAAACCCTAAACCCTGGCTACGGCTCAAGCATCTGGCCCGAAAATTTTGTGAGTTGCTTGCCCCTCTGTCCTGCCTCAACCTCTCGCATAATCTGTCTGAGGGAGGTGGTCGCATTCTCTGGCGGCCAGAGCTTCGCTGTGCACTACATCTCTGTGAGCGTACAGGGAGGGCGACATTGTGGTCTGGCGGCCAGGACTTCTTTGTGAGGGTGACGTTGGAGCTCTGGTTGGGTCGGATCCGGCTCCTGAGGGTGACTTTTCGGCAACTTTGTCCTTTTCTGCTTCTTCTGCTTCCTCCCCGTCGTTCTTGAGGGTGACCACTCGGCTGCTTCGCCCTCTTCTTCATCCTCCTCTTCTCCTTCGTGTTTGGTGCAGACCCTCCTTGAACGAGATGGCGGCTCGATGTCCGGATGAGGTGCCTACCCAACCAATCGACGTTGATGAGGACGACGGCCGGGGATCGCCAACTGAACTTGCCGAAGAATCGGACATGGACGTGGACCGAGTGATCAAGCAGGAGGTTGTTAAGCAGGAGGGTGAAGCTTCGTCTTGTGGCAAGATCGAGAAAAGGAAGAGAACTGAGCATCGAGCCTCGGGAGGTGCTACAGCTGGTGATGAGGACGATCCTGATGAAAGCCCCTCCAAAAGGCCACCACCTCCCGGTGATCATCGGCTGGAAGACAGGCCCGTTTCAGGCAGTGAGCTGAGGCACCTTCTTCAGTTGCATGCGCAAGAGATGAAAGATGCGTGGCGAACTTTTGAGACTCGCCTTGGCAACGCTGAGACTGGACTCAACAAGATCGAAGCTGTGCAGCAGAGACAAATGGGTGAGGTTGCGTCGCTCTCTGGAAGGGTGAAGATCAATGAGAGGGATGTTCAGGCCTTGAAGAGGAATCAAGATGCAACCATGCCTTGCATAGATGCTCTCGCTGAAGATGTGAAAAACCTCAAAATGCAGATGGATGAGGTCAAGAAGGAGAAGTCCAATGGCACAGGAGGGCTAACTGGGCGCAGTGAACAAGCAGGGCAACCCGACCCCTGGGGTGACTATCTTCTCCGTCGAGCTGGAGGACAAGGACGTCAACGACCTCAACCAGGCTTGCAGGTGGGTGGTACGGTTGAAGGAGCACAACATGGGGATGTCTCTTCAATGGTGACCAGGCATGGGGGTGAAGTGCTTTCGGAAGAAGACCAACGTACCCTAATACTTGGAGGATGGCTTCAAGACACGCGCAGAGCGGTCATTGAGACGGAGGCTGAGATGGTCATGAAGCTGCCGGAGATTGCCCCGCTGCTGGACACGGACGAGGTCTCAGTTTTTGGGCCGAGACGCAGTGTTGGCATGTTGAAGTTTGTGCACAGAGAAGGAGAAGGCATTGCCCAGACGCGAGATAGAATGTGGAAAGTTGTGCGTGCTGTAGCGCAAGCCAAGATCGTATATCCGAGCACGAAAAATGTAGGTGAGGAGAAGGTAGCGTGGGTTGCCTTTGTCAAGACTCGTGCTGCTCGTGCACGCACCGCGCATATCAGCATGATTCGGCGCGTGTCCATGGCTCTCGCGGCGGATGCGAAGGACGAGGGTGGCGGCGTTCTACACCTGGACCACACCCTCCCGGCCTCTTACGACATGGATTGGGCAGCGGGGACGATTTGGTGTGGGTCGCTTAAGCTTGGTTCAGCAACGCACAGGGCACCAAGAACACCGGACGTGGTCACGATGTCCAATGGCTGGGTCAGTATCGAGGCCGTGTCTCAAGTAGCGGGCTGTTCGCATGAGGCTGCCAGGGCAGCCTTCGAGCTTGAGCTTTGAGGAAAAACGGGACCAGGTTTCACTCCTTCTCCCTCCGGGCAGCCTAAGGCTTCACTTGAGGCGGTGGAGGATTCACGGTCTCCTTTGCGTGAAAGATGCAGATGGGGTCGTGCGATGCAATGGAATTTGGGCGGCCAAGAGCTAAACTTACTCGACACGACCTTCATAGCTGGAGATGTATCAGCCGATGCTGACATTGTGTTTGTGCAAGAAATCTCGCGTGGACATGACGGTTGGAACAGTGATGATTCGGAACATTTCCACTGGGTGACTTTCCGGGACAGTGAGATGTGGAGAGGTATTGGAGTTGGGATCGCCATTGACAAGCTTGACTGCGTGATCGCAAAGGTTGCCACCAAACGAGGTATTTGGGTGTTAGCGAGAGTGCTGGGACTGGGTCGTGTTGTCCTGGGCTCCCTTCATTGTTTTACAGGCACAACCAACGCCAAGTACCAAGCGGCGGTCATTGAATTCATGAAGTCGTGCCCTGCTACGTGGAGACACCATCCTATGCTCTGTGGGATTGATGCCAATGAAACTCCGACCTGGGTTGACACGGAGGGTGAGGTGATCCAGTCCGGCATTGAAGCTCTGGCCTATGGTTCCAACAATCTTAATGTCCTTGCTGAACAAGCGACTGGAGCTGGTCTGAGACCCATTGCGCCTGAGACTGCTCAGTTTTTCACCCCCACCCACTTCCCACGTGATGAACATAGAACGTGTCGTCAAATCGATATGGTTTGGTGCAGACAGGTGAGGACAAGCAAACTCACGATCGAACCTGATCGACGCTTCCTTATAGGCACGGATCATGCTGTCGTTTGGGTTGATATCTTTGTGGCTCAGCGTGCTCAGATGAAGTGGGGCAATGACTCTCGACCGAGATGGGTTAACAAGCCTCTGCCCAACGTCCCGCTCATGAAAGCCGATGACCTTTACAGCCTGGTGATGCAATGTACTGCCCCCAGGCCTCCCAAGAGCTACAAAGATGACCATGACGTCAAGGAGGCCTTCCGTGTCGCCAAAGCAGCCAGGACAAACAAACAACTGTGGAAAGCAGCTCACAAGCTCAGACGTTGCAAGCGCCTTGAGTGGAAAAACCAGAGGCTTGCAGACATCCTTGACGGGGACTGGGCTCAATACCGTGCTCTCCAACGTGAACAGAAGAGAAGACGAGGTTGGTGGGGTGCCATGTTGCAGGATAAGTCGTCGGCGGTTGTCACGAAGGAAGTCAAGACTCACCTTGAAGGAAAACTCGTTGATGAGAACATGTTGGATTGGGATGACATGCTCGAGACCCACATCGCAAACGTTGAGATGGGTGACGTCTTTGAGCCCTTCTCGCTCTTGGATATTCGGGGTGTCTTGCAAGAGATGAAAGCAGCAAGCGCGGTTGGCCCAGATGGGGTGAGCGTCTCCCTTCTTCGTGAGGTTGCCAACCATGACACGCTTGGGCTCCAACTTCTGGACATCGTCAACCACATCGTTGAGGAGACGGCCATTCCTGCAGGTTGGCAGGACAACTTCCTTGCCCTCCTTGCGAAGGTCGACCATCCGTCGAAGCCGAAGGACCTGCGCCCAATCTGTGTCTCCTCGGTCTTTCATAAAATGGTCACCAAACTCGTCTGCAGCCGTGCGCTCCCGGTGATGAGGACTGGATCAAGATGTTCGAGTTGTGGAAAAGGTCGCCAAGCAGCTGACATCATTGGGGTGATGACTCGTGTTAGGGATGTCACACAAGAATGGAAGCTACCTCTGCTACTTTGTAAACTGGACATCTCGGGCGCTTTCGACAGACTGGATAGGCTCAAAGTGGTCGAGTTCCTGAAAAGCCATCTCGGAAGTCATGTTCTCCCGCATGAACTTAAATACCTGCTGGCGCAACTCCGTACATACAGGCTTCGTGGGAAAGTGCCAGGGGGTGATGTTCTCGAAGTTGCACCGAATGTGGGCATCAAACAGGGAGCACCCGAAAGTGCGGAGCTCTTTGGCATGGTTATGGATGCTATGCTTACACGATTGCTCAGCACCAAAGGATGGAAGACGTCACGCTCGTGTGACTTTGACTTGGAGATCGACTTGGTCTTTTACCAGGACGATATATTTTTGCTGGAGCCGGACTTCATCAAGATGTGCAAGAAGATTAAGGTGCTTGAACGCTTCATGGCGACAGCTGGCCTTCATCTTGCTGCGAACAAGACCAAAATTGTGGCGAGCTCTCAGTATCGGGGTGTGCGGAAAGCCTCGGTTGGGGGTGACACCTGTGAAATTGCAGCCTCGACTGAGTCAGTGCGGGTCCTTGGCCTTGCGTTCAACCTGCAGGAGGCTCCCTCCCAGCAGGCCCGTGAGCTGTTAGGCAGGACACGTGGGGCGGCGGCCCAACATAGGTGTCTACTCAGAGGGCGCGCCTCCTGGCTCAAAAAGAACAAGATGATCGGCACGCTGGTGGCCTCGCAATTCCAATGGACAGCCGGGGCGATATTTTGGTCCAAGACTGAACTTCAGCAAGCCAACATACTTCAGCTGCACATTCTCAGAGATGCCTTTGGCCTCCGGCGCAAGGAAGGGGAGAGCTGGGTCACTTGGAACACTCGTACAATGCGGGACTGCCGCTACTGGATGGCACACAAGCAAATTCCACGTTGGAGTACATCCATCCTCCGGCTTCAGCACACCCTCGCAGGACACTGGGCTCGTCGCATTGAGTTGATTGGTCACCTCCGGCAGCCGTGTCTTTCCCTCCCCATGCGTGCATTGCAGTGGAGGAACACCGACTGGTGGCGTCGTCAACAAGCCCTGAGCCCTACCGTCAGCGTCCGTCACCAAGGTCATGTTCACATTCACAACGTTGAGCGCCAGTTGGCTGAAGTCCATGGCTGCCGGTGGGCGCTTCTGGCCCTGGACAGAGCGAGATGGTCTCGCGAACGTGATGCCTTCCTTGACAAATGGGATCTGCAGTGGACAAAGAGTAGACAGCTGGCAATCGCTGCCTAGGACACTGCATCAGTGACGACACCTAATGAAGCCCTTGCAAGGCTGAAATGTGTGGTCTGGTGTCCGGCACGTCTTCGTTCTGTCTACTTACATGGCTATGCAGTGGTTTGTTGACCCGCTCAGGCTCTTCCTTTGCATGGCACTCTGACCCTTCGTCGTACTACTTGCATTTTGCTATTGATGTGATCGATCTTCTACTCAATTGTCTACACACACTCAACATGGTGGAGTCCTCTGGCATGTGTGCATTGACGCTGTGCTAGCTTGATTGCGGTGAATGCTGTCTTCGTCTGAGCGCCCTGCACATGAGTGACTTCCCTTTGCCCAAGATCCTTGCCATATGTTTGCTTGGCTCGAGGTGATTTTGGCCAACCTTTGCGCCCTCGCCTTCCTCGTTAACATGGCCCTTTGCCGTGCCCTTGTCTGGGGCGTTCTTTTCTGGGTGGCCTTCAAGTTGATTGGGGCTGCCCCTGACGGAGAAGATGAGGACTACCCGGGCCACCTTTGGGAGAGTCGTCTCGAACCACAGGAGCTATCTGTACAAATATCGGCTACGGGGTTGACTGCGTCCTCCTCTTCCAGCCCGCCCTCGCTTACGACAGGCAGCTCCGTGAATGTACAGACCGGCTACCAGAACTTCATCGCCCACATGGCCAGTGCTTGGGATGAGGAACTTTGTCTCGGCCTCCAACAAGAAGAAATTGACAATGCCCAGGAGCTCCAACAGGTGGCTGCTTCGTCAGCTCCAGCGCCTCACCAAGTACCTGTACCTGGACTGATGTGCTCTGGCCAACATGCCGTCCCCTATGACCCCTGGGTGGACGAAGCTGGTGAGGATGAGGACGAGGACGTCGTGATTAAACCCCTACCTGAATGGGATTGGCCGGACTCTTCGTACGTGGGGGTGAATTCAATACAGCAGCCCAGTTTTTCTTGCCTGTCGAGCGATCCGAACGAGGGGGTGAACTTTCAACAACAGCCCAGCTCTTCGTCTTGGCCGAGCTCCTCTTCCTCGTCTTCGAGCTCCACGCCGTCGATATGTACCAGCTCCGCCCCGTCTTCTACCTGGCCCTTGCCTTCTTCGTGTGCGCCCTCCTTGTCGTCTATGTCGGGGCGGTCACTCAGTATGGTTGAGGCCGGATGATGATCTGGTCGGATCGGCTCCCCAGAGCTTCTACCCTACGTGGACGACATGGGAAAGTGATGAAACTCCGAGTGGCGACCCTCCACCAACAACACCGGACTGGCTACGCCTGGTTATTGATCGTCGTGGCCTCCGTGGTCGACCAGCCTGCACCACACAACTTGGACAAGATGGTACTTTGCTAGGTCCGCTGGAGGATGAAGGCACAACCAAGCGCTTTGGAGTACAACGTGCGGGCCTTGATCGTTGGCATCATCCGGATGGAACGGTTCGGGTCCGAAGACGGGAGCGACTCGCAGCTGAACAAGCTCATGTTGGACTGCCCCCCGTGCCTGAGGAGACTGAACAAACACCCACCGCCGAAGACAAGCCACAGGCCGTGGAGGTGGCTAGTACCGACCACTTGGCGACCGACAACCTCACGATGAAGAAGCTGCCGGAGCACCCTCACCTCGTCGTGGACACCAATGCCAGCACGACCGCGGGAGAAGGCGAAGAAGGTGGCATGGCTGACACCGAATCAGGACTGTCATCTTCCGATGGCACTAGTGGTCCCTCTGTGGGGTTCTGGAGGGGTGGTGTCTGGGTCAATCGCCCTCGCAACGAGGCCGAACTTCGCAGTCACAAAGGAGGAGCAGGTGATGTTCGTACGCGTCGCAAACGGGAACGCATGCAAGCGTACTTTGACGGCCGCTGGAAGCCCGCCTGGTTGCAAAACTACATCACAGAACGCCAGCGCCGTGAAGCAGATGTCGTGAACTCTCGAGAAGCTGATGATGACGCTGCGCCACAGCAAGAGACCTCGTCGGCGACCACGGCACCCACGGACAACGACATGGAATGGCCGTCACCATCCCAAGAAAGTTGGGAAACTTGGTCGGCACCGTCCCAATGGCATACATCCAACTGGGAACAATGGGCACCCGAGACGCACAACAACCATCAGGACTGGGATGGGGCGCAACAATGGTCATCCTCATCTTGGTCATCGTCAAGCTGGTTTGCATCTTCGTGGGATGAGTGGAATGGGGAGCAATGGTGGACTACTTCCTCTACGTCACAGACTTGGCCGACACACTCGACAACGACCACAACGGGGCATGGGACTTGGGGTGAGTTTGATCCCGCTACTTCGTCTTCTACGACTGGCCCAGTTGCATTTGCTGAGTGGGGTGACTTGCTGACGTCTTCCTCGTCTTCCTCCACGACCACCCTGGGGCCCCCCGAAGAACAGGTAGATGCTGAGGCCATGCAATTGCCGCCGCAAGCCATACCAGGCTTCGGACTGTTCCCAGAGGTCACTGAGTTCCATGATGAAGTGACTTGGATGATGCAACTCACCAACGGGGAAAGGGCCACACTACAAGAAAGTGGACTCACAGAGACCAACATCAACAGGGTCGAAGAGCTACTTCATCAAGTTGATGATCACCAGGTTGACGGCACTGGCCCTGAGGCAAGGTGGGCGCTAGCCAGGCTGGTGGCCAGACTGGAGGATGGTGTGGAAGCTCTTAGCACTACACTCGAAGTCCTACGCCGTCGTCTACAACCGCGAGGATACCTACCCTTGCAGCGCATCCCTGGGGAAGAAATTGCCAGAATTAGATGGCTCAACTGGGTGAGACAGTTCGTCGATCTCTTCACTGGACAGCTGGAAACCAATCTTCGTGCTCCTCTTCAACCTCAAGAATGTGACCCGACGGATGGGGTGACCATTGGATTCCACACCGCCCTTCCGTTTTCACTCCCACCCGTCAACAGAGGAACACACACGAGAGAACGCTCCCGGAGCCCTGCCCGTTCGGCACCGGCCGCGTCATCCTCCGATCATCAATCAGGCTCGGACAGAGATGGGTCTCCTCATGCTGACTCCTGCTCAGAAACCACGAATCATGGTGAAGGCCCCGCTACAGAGATTGACGCCTCTGAGCTTCCCGGCATATGGCGGGACCCACCACTCGTGGACGCGTCGAGCGAGGTGAGCAGTTTCGGGGGATCCAGTGGCTCAGGCACAGCGAGACTGGGAACTTCCACCTCTACCTCGACAACGAGCACGACATCAACAACGTCCTCCTCTTTGTTCACTGTGTCCTCCCAAAACTTGACCTCCTCTACGTCTGGGTGCGGGTGTGGCCTTGACGTGCAGCTGACACAGGACCAGGACAATGACGCAGCAGGGGTTGAAACGTTGTGGGAGTCAGAGGAAGTGGGGTGGATGCAACTGTCGGCCTTCGCAATGTCTTCTTCATGGGGGGGGACTTCGACTTCTACCACGACGAGTACCTCACAGATTTGGCCGGCGGACCTCGTTCGTGGTGCAACGGCAATGGAAATGGAACTGGCAAGCCAGGCAGACATGGTTGATCTTCTTCGTCGTCTACTAGACCGACAAAGGATGCTTCGTCATTGTGCCCGTTTGACAGCAGAGGCCATTGAGGAAATCTTGGGTCATCTACAAGTGGGAAGACATGAGCTTCCATTCAACGCGGCGACAATGGAGGCCAACATCTGGAGGGTGATTTCGGCGGAGGCAACTAACGGCCATGGGCCTTCCACCACCATGACAGTCCTACCAGCAGGGCAACCCGCTGCCCTTCTTCAACCTGGACTACCACGAAGTGTGGAGGACATGCAGGCGATCAACCCTGACCTTGACGAGGCCACCATAGTGAGGTATCGACGTCGCGCCTGGAGGAGCCATGCAGAAGGACTTTATAGAAGGCTCGGCCGAGAAGTACCTGCAAGTCGTTGGCCCTCTGAGAATGACAGGGACCTCTACCTCGTCCAAGCCGATGGCGAAATACCAGTCCCAAACATTCCCTCAGAATGTCGCCCCCCAGACAGGCCTCTACATGAACGTCGACTTCGAGGGATAGGAGGCAGGCGACGTGGGCAAAGGCACTTTGCTGGACCCGGTTCTTCTACGTTGGGCTCCTCGACTACGTCTACGGCAAGAAGGACCGCACCGACGCCCTCTGGAAGACCAACAGTTGCCAGACCATCGAGTGCCCCACATGTCCTCGCAGTGATGACTCCGTCCCCTCTGGCTCTGTCGGTGACTACTGATGCAATGATGCCTGAGATGGGAGAGAGTACTCATGGAGAACGCTCGCGTAGTCGTAGTAGAGATGGTGAGGGACATGCCGGCGCAGCCAGCACCTCGTCGAGTGATGCCGAACGTGTAGACTAGGTGGTTGCCTCAAGCTTTTCGGAAGGAGAGAAGCGGCGCACAACACCGCACAAGACGGCGCAAAGTTGTCGAGACACGTTTTAGGGTGCCTGTCTCCTCTGTGAGATGTTATTCTAGAGTGCACGCTCTTCGGAGTGAGCCTATCGACCTCTGCGGGAGAAAGGGCTATTGCATTAAAAAAAAAAACCCTAAACCCTAAACCCTAAACCCCTATTCGGCAGGTGCTGAAGTCATCGGGTGCACGGGAAGCGCTAACCGTGCCCCTGGGCTGGAGGGTTGAGGAGTGTAGGGTTTAGGGTTTAGGGTTTAGGGTTTAGGGTTTAGGGTTTAGGGTTTAGGGTTTGGGTTTTAGGGTTTAGGGTTTAGGGTTTGGGTTTTAGGGTGGTGGGTTAAGGGTGTAGAGC